GCCACAACCTTCTACCACTGACTCCCTGCCGCATGTGATTTCCTTGCTCTGCGTGTTTGTATCTCTAAGATATTTCCCAAGTCCTTCGCAACCCGAGAGGCTTTAGCAGAAGACACCATTAAATGAGGCAACCCCACAAACAGTGAGCTTTCTTCTTTATGAAGAATATTCTCTTGCTTATGAGATGTTCCCTTTAAACAGGCTACCTGGAAATAGGCGTGTACAGAGGAGATTGCACCAGTGTGGCTTTTCCTGACGTGCCCTATCTGCCACCGCTTGCCAAGGCTAGATCCTGGGCAGTCAGCTCCCCTGGGCTCCACACCGCTGCAGCCTGAGCCAGGGACCAGGCTGCGGGCCAGAAACAGTCACGCTGGGCATTCAATACCTCGCCGGAGTACGAGCTATATCCAGCACAGCTCTTCCTCTCCAGCAAGAAGTGACGCAGAGACAGTCCCACTCTCCTGAGCATGCCACGGCTCCTGCTGTCTCAATCCTGCGGGCACGGACCTGCATTTCCCGCGGACACAAAGCAGAGGGGTGAGATAATTGCACCACAGCTGCAGGGGCGAAGCAAATGCTCCGTGTACCTGGGGACGCAGCGCAGGTCCAGACCCAAAGCTGTGGTTATTCTGCCACAGAAAGGAAAAGGGGGAATGAGCCGCTTTGTGTGTTGTCACTGCAATGCCAAACAGCGCCGGGACTGTACTTTGTGCCCATGACACACACAAAGTCAGGATCACAAGGGCAACCATGGCTTCTGTCTCCTCTCTCCCCAATTCCAGGCTCCCCCCACTTTCCTCTGCCCTCGGGGGAGCAGTACGGACACCAGTGAGAGGGCATCCTTTGGAATTCGGTATTCAGCATCAGCTTCCCATGCAGTTTCATTGATCCCAGGTATCTCTTGCCTCTGCCCTTCCTCCCCTGCAGCACCTCCACCTTCCTCGCTGCTGGGGCTGCTCGGACACCCTGCCTCTTCAGGCTGGCAAGTGAAACAAGGGGCCTTAGGGATGTGCGCTGGGCAAACCTACTCCACACAAACCCACCCCTTCCTCTTCCTTCCTGTTCTTAAGGTTACAAAAACCAAAATCAAAGCAAGAGTGCTGCTATTTTTGAGAATCTCTGGCCTCTCAGCTGCTGCAACTCCAGGCTGTTTAGTCACAAGTCTTATTCTGATTAAAAAGATCTCAGCTTCCATTTCCAAAGTGATTTTGGTGTTTACTTTTCCTTCAAGGGCCCAAACAAATTAATTTCTGTGCCTGATGCAGCCTGTTCCTTCACCTCGGGTCCCCTCAACTATTCTACAGTATTGCTTAAACATGCCGTATTTAAGCTAAAATAAGTTAATGTTTTGTTAGGTACTTGAGATAAAAGCGGCAAGTCTGGAGGATGCACCCACCTTTATTTTGACCAGCCATGGATTAATTTACCCAGCTGCCAAAAAATAAATTAAAACAGGCTTAAAGCTGGTCAGCCCACAGGTAAGTTCTCTGTACTGCTTGGTGCACTTGCCATCCTTACATGCAGGATGTGAGTCCCCGCTGTTTGCATTTTGTATTATTTCTAACAGAAGTGCAAAGGGGCTGCCAGCTGAGACCAGCGGGGTTTTAGATCTCTTTGCCCAGCTGGGAAAAAACAGCACAACTTATGGAAAAACAGGAAGCCACAGCATAATATTGCTTGGGACTGCAAAATACCCACCTTGTCCCTGTGCGTGGGACAGCTGCATGTCGGGGACGGGTGCTGAGGTGTGGGGGGACACTGCTTTGGGATGCAAAGCAAATGAGTACTGGAATGTCACCCTGCAGGTGACAAAACGAAAGTGTGGCAGTAAAAAGGGCTTCACTGGATTACAGAAAACTGCAGAGCTGGTGTAAGAGCTGTACACTGGGAGCAGCACCCTGACCCCGGTACACAAGGCTCCTGGAAAGAGCTAGAGGCAGCCCTGGACAACGTTTTGGAGCGGGGTCAGAGAATCAAAAAGCCTGGGAAAGGCTCAGGGAGCCTCTCACCTGGTTGTGCGTTTCAGGCTGTACGTACGCTCCCTGCAAGGAAGCCGGGGCACTTCTTGCCCTGGCGGGGTGCACAGGGTGGAGCAGGATTTCGGAGGTGACAGCTGGAAGGTCACCGTGGGGACCGGTCACTCACCACCTCCTGCCCTCCAGCCTGCGGGCACCAGCCGTCTCCTCCGTCCTGGTGCTCCCCAAGCACCTCCACGGTGCTGGCCAGCCTGGCTGCTCGCAGGTGCACCCAAAAGGCTTTGGGGACAAGGGTCCCCCTGAACCCCCTGAACCGTGGGAGGCAACGCCACAGCGGGAGCACGGGCGAATGCAGCAGCAACAGCCAGCAAGCGCACACACGTAGGCGCAAGGCAGCTCCCAGAAGGGATGGGGGGGGGTAAAACCAACTTACATCAAGCTGGGCCACGCTGCCTTATGCTGCAGAAGTCTGGCACAACCGCCCAGGTTGCATTTGCACACATGCCGCTCTCTCCCTGTCTCTGAAATGCTTCGTCTGCAGCTGGGACTTCCTGGGAGGAGTCGGAGAGGCTGCAGGAAGGCAGGAGTCGAGCTACAACACTGATGGGGAAAATCGTACCGGGGAACTGGAGATCTCGGGTCGCTCTCTAAGGCACCAGGATGAGGGAGGAGAGGGCTTTTGGGAGCAGGTCCCTTCCTCCCAGACGCTTGGAGCCAGGGCTGCCAGAAGATTTTGGCTGCCTGGGAAAATATCTCAGCATATTGTTCAGATGGAGGCTCATACCAGCATAATTATAGCGGGATAATTTTTGTGGTATGACTACAATTACTTTGGCATGGCAATGGCGGGGAATTTCCCTTTGAGTGAAGCCTTCAGTCATTTTGAAAAATGAATTTTTAAGTCATTCAGTCACTCTCAGAAATTTCACCCTGCAGGCTTAATATTATTAGAGAAGAGAATGGGTCACAGGTACAGAAGGTGAAGGCATCAGGATTAGATTCATCAGAGGATAATGACCAACTGTCCATGATACAACCTAAAGCAGGATCCTGCAGCATTGTCTGACCCCTGGGCTGTGGAAGGGCAGGGAGACGGATAGCAGCCTCAGAGGGGGATTTCAGTGCATGGATGCAGGAGCTGAACTCCCCATCAGTCGTTTGAGAGGTGACAATTGCTCAAGTGAGGTGTAGAGAGCAAATTGCCTCTCTCGGCTTCCCTCTTCCTTTCGTGACGAGGCTTTACATGCACTGATGAATCAGGTCGTGTAGCTCTCCTGAGTGAGTAATTACTGTCTCCCTTTCACAGAAGGAAAAAGTGAGCCACAGGGAAAGGAAGCGGCTGACGTCTCCTGTGCCAAAGGTTCCCAAATCCTAACCCGACGTCCGGCCGCTGGGCTCACAGCATCCCTGCCATGACTAAGCCGGAGGGAATGTCAGTGCAGGCAGATGCAAACTCTTTGTTTTCTAAACTTCTGTTTAACTCAAACACTGTAACAAACAGATGGAAGGAAAACTTGTGTTTGCTTCCAAAAGAATGTACATGGCACGTCCTGAGCCATCTAATAGCTCAACGCCATTTTCTCCTCTTCCCTCCTGCTGCCCTCTCTATGCCTTCTTTGCCCCCTCCCCTGCCAGCCTTGCACCTTCCCTGGTTGTTGTTTGCCGCTGAGCTGAGCTGACTTGATTAGCTAAATTAGCAAAAAGCCAACCTGGCAGAAAAGAGGACAGTTCTCTGTAAGGTCCATGAGTTGAACAGGCTCAGGGTGGGTGTGAGTGCTAAAGGCACTGCAAGGAAATAGAGATCTGGGTAGGGACCAGAGCAAAGAGGAGTGGGGAGAAGAAGGGATGGACAAGAGCACTAACCCCCGCCTTCTTTGGCAGGATTTGGCCTTTATATTGGTTCAACAGTAACATGTAACTTCACCTTAATGTCCTCTTGACATTTAGCAGAAATTGGTGCATAATACACATATGGCCAGCAAGGAAAAGGACACTATCTGACCTTCTTGGAGTTTGTACTGTAAAACTCAAGGAAAATTAGGACCCTCTCTTTCTTCAGGTCATTTTAATTTAACAAGTGCATCTAGACATGAACAATTCTTCTTAATGATGTTTTTTAAAAAAATCTAGCTATTGCACTGGTGAGTGTCTACAACACTGTCCCCTGGCAGGTGGGATCATAGCTCCTCTGGTACAGGTCCTGTGCTATGGCTACAGGAGGATGTTAAGACCTATAATGTTCCTAGAAAGCCACAGATATGCTTATTTTACTACAGCAGTGATCACTGGTGTATACAAGTTAAAATTGGCTGCACTTAACCACTCAGAACTGCCTCTTGTACACTAATGAAATTATAATGAATGCCTTTGAACCATCCTTTATGAATTTTTTAAAAAATGATGCTGCTCAGTGTCCTCCAATGAGTCAGCCAAATGAAAATAACCATTAGTGAATCAGCCTGCTTTTTTCAGGTACCACAAAATTACTGTTGGATATATCCTCGTAACACACTAGTGTTACTATTCCTGCTGTGAGGAAACAAACGCTGTATTTTTCAGTGGCCTTAGTTCAGAGAGCTGTTGCTAGAGAAATGGAAGAGGGTTTTCAAAATATTCCACTTCAGAAACGCAACATAGGTTGGTTCTTAAGCAAAAAGTGGTAAAAGCTGCAATTTAAATTATTTTCATTCTCTTATTGTTAACTAGCCTTAAATGTTGATACTAGTTGTATCCACTATTTTTTATTTGAGGCATCCAGCGAGATGTTCACCAGATTTTCTCCACTGATTTGGACCATGTGCCCCGGTTCCTAAATACGGATGATGTCTGCGGCCTCAGTTACTGCTCGGTGATTTGAAGGACGGGAACCGGGCGTGCATCAGAGTTTTGCGCTGGCATGGGTGTGTGAGAGGACTGGGTGGTGGGGCCTGGGCTATGCACCATCCCTTCTCCTGCACAGGGCACAGCCACAGACTGAGGCAGATGAAGCTGATTTTAACCATTTAGGAGCTAAGGAAAGGGTTTAATGTCACCTGAGAGGAGGTAGGACCCCGACAAAGAAAGACGCAGCCTCCTTTTTGTCTGTAAGCCTGGAGGTGATGCACACCAGGTCCAGACAGATGAGCAGCCGCTCCTCTGAGGGCTCCGCATGGCTTGAACCACGCTGAGGGGCTAAAACTGAAACAACGTGATGTCAGAGCATGGCAGCTATCATTTTTTACCCTTCTGTATTTTCACAGCAGTGACACCAGCCTGAATCAGGTCCTGAAGCTGTCCTTGGCAGGCCTGGCTTTCCTCCCTCTTCTTCCTGAGGGACAGAAGCTGCCGTCTCTCAGTGCCACAGGCTGCGAGACTGAGTTGCTGTACACAGAATTACATTAAATGAAATAATTTTTTTTTTTTGGGTCATAAACCTGAATAAAGAGGTAAATCTCTTTTTTTTTTTTTTTGACCAAAAGAATCAGTTCTGGACTTCAAAGTCCTGCTGTCCTGCCACGGCACTCAGCTCCCCACCTTCCCCTTCGCCTGCCCAGCGCTGAGGCTGGAATTGTGGCGGCCCCTTTAAGACTCTCACCATTTTGTGCGCTGCCCTGCACCAAGATGGCGCCCCCGCCCTCACGTCCCCTCCCCGCCTTTCCCTCTCCTCATCATCCCCGGCCACCCTAAATGCCGC